TCCATCATATTACATTTTCTCCCTCTGGAGTTGCCCAGTCAAACTTAGTTCTATTTGATATGTATCCATAAGAGTCAAGGCTCTTTCACAGTATTAAACTGATTCCTCATGGAACTGACCACCCTGACCATGTTTGTTTGTTTGATTGTTGTTTTAATTACAAAAGTTTTACATTCTCATTGCAAAAAACCCCCCAAGTACTACAAAAGTGTAAAAAGAAAAAGCCACAGTCTCCTTCCTCTAATTTCTTTCTCTAGGGGTAACCAGTGGGAAGAGTTTAGTGTATGTTCCAAGTAATTGCTGTCAGATTTCTGTATCCATTCACTGAAGGCAGAGAACAAGACTATCTTTGTTTGCCCTGCCTGGTAGAGGAAAATGGTGACATAGAAATCCTTTTCTTTCACTGTGAACAGAGTCTCAGGTTCCCAGTCAGGAGGCCCTGAGCACCCAGGTGGAACAAGAAGGAAAGCCCTGGGATCCCAGTGTCCAGACTTGCAAGGAGGGCCTGAGCCGCAGGAGCCCAGCTCCCGGTAAGAAACGCAGTTGAGCAGCCTGCGCAGCTAGCCTCCCGCTGTTGGGAATGAGGCATTTGAGGGTCTTGGTGTAAGGGTAGCCCATCACCACTGCCAGGGAGGTACATTCTTCCAGTGTCTCCACTGCCCACTTCCATCCCAGTGATGGCAGGTGAGGTACCCAGGGTGCAAAGTGTAAGGAGGCATTCACTCCTGGGCTCATTTGCCCACCCTAGTCCCAGTCCTGCTCCATCTCACCCATTCCCAAAGGGCAGAAGCCAGAGGCTCAGTTGGAGAGGGAGTTCGGGGCCCCTACAAGGGAATTCAAGACTGGTTTGAGCTCTGATTCCTGAGTGATGGCCCCACCCCTTATGTGGATCCCCGTCTACCGTGCTTTACCTATATGGGGAAGATGGAAAACTGAGGTAGAGCCAGCCCTTCTGGACTTCTGACCTACAGGCAGTAGCACACATGGGATTTCCTTTTCTCTGGTGTAGAAATAACATGGGTTTGGTTTCTCTCGATCTTCCAGGGGAAGAGAAATTTGACAATCTGGAAGAAAGTGCTCAGTCCGTTTGCCCTGAGAGCATCCACCCTCGGGCGCTGCTGCCTGGCCAGGCCGGAGGGGAGGTACCCTGGAGTCCTGAGCAGGGAAGGCCTCATGACAGGGCAGAAGAGCATTGGGAGCCTGCCCCAGAGGTTCGGATGGAGCAGTCCTTAGTGGGGGCCACAAGTTGCAGAGAACTGGGGCGGCCAAAGGAACTGCAGCCGAAGAAGCTCCATTTATGTCCCTTGTGTGGCAAAAATTTCTCTAACAACTCGAACCTGATTAGGCACCAGAGGATACATGCAGCAGAAAGACTGTGTATGGGTGTGGGGTGCGCTGAAATCTTTGGCGGGAATCCACACTTTTTGTCACTACACAGAGCACACTTGGGAGAGGAGGCCCATAAGTGCCTCGAGTGTGGAAAAAGCTTCAGTCAGAATACCCACCTGACTCGGCATCGGCGTACCCACACAGGTGAGAAGCCCTATCAATGTAACGAGTGTGGAAAGAGCTTCTCTTGCAACTCCAACCTCCACAGGCACCAGAGAACGCACACAGGTGAAAAGCCCTACAAGTGCCCTGAGTGTGGGGAGATCTTTGCTCACAGTTCCAACCTCCTTAGGCACCAGAGAATTCACACAGGAGAGAGACCTTATAAGTGTTCCGAGTGTGGGAAAAGTTTCTCTCGCAGTTCTCACCTTGTCATTCACGAAAGAACTCACGAGAAAGAGAGGCTGTACCCCTTCTCTGAGTGTGGGGAAGCAGTGAGTGACAGCACCCTCTTTCTTGCCAATCATGGGACCCACAAGGCAGAGAAGAAACTCTTTCAGTGTTTAACTTGTGGGAAAAGCTTCCAGCAGGGCATGCACCTCACCAGACACCAGAGAACACACACAGGAGAGAAACCATATAAATGTACCCTCTGTGGGGAAAACTTCTCTCATAGATCCAACTTAATCAGACACCAGAGAATTCACACGGGAGAGAAACCCTATACCTGTCATGAGTGTGGAGACAGTTTCTCTCACAGCTCCAATCGGATTCGTCATCTGAGAACCCATACAGGAGAGAGACCCTATAAATGTTCCGAATGTGGAGAAAGCTTTTCTCGGAGTTCACGCCTTATGAGTCATCAGAGAACTCACACTGGATAGAAACAATGGGATTTCTTTTGGGCCCAGATAAGGTGGCATATTCAGAGGGGCTTCTTGTTAAGAGCTGGTATTCCTTACCCAGCATGATCTGCATCTTTAGGGTAATTACTCCAAAGAGGAACCAGGGGAGGGTCGTTGTGAGGGAGGTGCAGAGGCAGCAAAGGATTAGCGTAAAACTGAAAAGGAATTCTGTTGGAACTAGTGAGGATGGCAAGTCTTTGAAGTGACCCTCTCAGGGTGGAATCCCCTCTAAAGTTCTTCCAGTCTCAGGGCACACCTACCCCCTCAGCATATTTAGCCAACTTGAGACTTGGGTGCCTTACTGTGTCCAGTGTGTATACCAACAACTTTGGGAATCCACAGACTTCCTGGTATTGCTTCCTCACTTGGGACATTCATCAGGAGCTTTTGGGCTCCTGAGGCCCTTGAGACCAAAGAAGAGGGGCCAGGTCTCCTGGGAGACCAGCTGGAGGCACCAAAAGACTGGTGGTGAGTTGCAGCTCTTCTGAAGGCCTGGCTGAGAAGCCACAAGCAATCCCGGGCAGCCACCACAGTGCCCTCAGTGGCCTGACAGTAGGGCTCATTGGTAGGTCATGCATGTGATTGTCACCTCAAACAAAAAGGAACCAGAGACCTACGGGAAATAGTAAGATGGAATTTGCAGGTCAGCCCAGGAATTGGCAGAGGAAACCGGGGTCTTAATTAGCTTACCCTTTGCAGAGATCAAGTCCTCAGAGGGTTCCATGAAAGATGGGTTCCCTGGGAGACTCTGAAAACGTGGATCCTGGGGAAATTAGGAATCATGCCTTTCCCTGTTGAAAATATGTTTGGATGGTAATAAATATCTTAAGGAAACATGAGTGTGAGACTCATCATTGAGGGCCTTTGACTTGGCCTCCAGTGTTGATCGGTCTTCCACCTGCTTTGGGTAGAGAACCTGGCTTTCTTTGTGGTCTTACTTGGTTGCTAAGGAGGGTTCTGACAAAGGTGACGACAGACAGGCTGAGGGAGGGAGGTGTGGCCCTGGCTGGCTCCAGGCTGGGACTGCTATGTGGTAACAAAGGGTCAAGTCCAGTGGCTGCTTGGGGTGATGTCATAAGGGTGTTCTAGAAGGGTTTTTTTTCCTTTGGTGTACAGCTGTGAACATTGTCTTTTTTTTTTTAATTTTTAAAAAAATTATTTTTTTTGGCTGCATTGGGTTTTCGTGGCTGTGCACGGGCTTTCTCTAGTTGAGGCGAGCAGGGACTGCTCTTCATTGCAGTGCGCTGGCTTCTCACTGCAGTGGCTTCTCTTGTTGCAGAGCATGGGCTCTAGGCGCGCAGGCTTCAGTAGCTGTGGCACGCAGGCTCTAGAGCGCAGTCTCTGGTTGTGGCACATGGGCTCAGTTGCTCTGCGGCACGTAGGATCTTCTGGACCAGGGCTCGAACCCGTGTCCCCTGCATTGGCAGCCGATTTCTTAACCACTGAGCCACCAGGGAAGCCCTGAACATTCTTTTGATTGTTTAGAATGTTTACTTTCTTGCAAAGTAGGTAAAGGAAGATCTGGCTCGTCAAAGACAAGTTATTTTGGCCGAGCAAATGGTTCCCAGGAAAAGATGGTTCTGATATAACTGCGTTATTGCCCATTAGTGGAGGGAGATACAGGAGAGGGCAAAATTATTAGGGGACAGCATTACATTTCAGAATGGGGAATCAGGAATAGGAATTCTAGGAGTGTGTTTCTATGGAAAAGAGGTAGAATACCAGGGAGAATTCTAGGAGTAGGAAATTCTGATGCTAGGAAAACATCTCAGGATTTGGCCCTGGAGGAAAATATCTACCTAGCTGTTCTTTGGGAGAAAAAGATGAAACATTCCACTGGCAACAGGCTATTAAATATAGCACTTTTAAGTAAAGGAAATAACCCTGCGTGCCCCCCACCCTTGGTTATATCTGTTTCCCATTTCTGTACCATTCTCTTACCCTCAAGAGGGCAGTGGTATTGCGGGTCTTGGGGGTCAGGGAAGGGAGATGAGGATTTGAAAGAGATTAATGTGGAATGGACAGTGGTAGGAGCAGGACAGGGCTGCTGTGGCTGCCAATACCATGAAGTGGGTGGGTGGTGTAAAGTTGATGTTAGTAAGCATTCTGGTTAAGATGGCAACTTATGTGGACTGTAAACCTCATGAGAATAGAAAGCACCCCTCCCCTTCAGATCCTTATCCCTCATCCCCCATAATACTATCCATACAGATCTTAGGATGTGGTCTAACTGGCATTGCTCCTACTTGGAGTACTACAGTTTGAGCCAGAGCAAGAGGACCCCCAGGTGTTCACTCCTGGCACTAAGAAGGCTTTCCAATCGTAGACTTCACCCAGTCCCCAGTCTAACTCCCCTTCTAACAAACTTAACATGCAGAGCTCTTCTCGGCCTTGTTTTCATGAGGTGATGTCACAAAATATTGCATGTAAAACACTTAGCACAGAGCCTGGCACATAGAAAATACTCATCTATTTGTGCCACCTGGGGTAGATAAAACTGGCAAATTGCCTTTTTTTTTTTTTTTTTTTTTTTTGCGGTACGCGGGCCTCTCACTGTTGTGGCCTCTCCCGTTGCAGAACACAGGCTCCTGACGCGCAGGCTCAGCGGCCATGGCTCATGGCCCCAGCTGCTCCGCAGCATGTGGGGTCTTCCCGGACCGGGGCACGAACCCGTGTCCCCTGCATTGGCAGGCGGACTCTCAACCACTGCGCCACCGGGGAAGCCCGCCTTTTTTTTTTTTGTTTTTTTTGTTTTATACTGCAGGTTCTTACTAGTCATCAATTTTATACACATCAGCGTATACATGTCAATCCCAATTGCCCAATTCAGCACACCACCATGCCTTTCTTCTTAAGTACCTGGTAGTAAAAGCAATGTAAGACCACGCTGGGGAATTTCCTGGTGGTCCAGTGGTTAGGACTCGGCGCTTTCACTGGCAAGTTGGCCTGGGTTCAGTCCTTGGTTGGGGAACTAAGATCCCACAAGCCATGTGGCACAGCCAAAAAAAAAAAAAAACCACGCTGGCAGGAATTCTGGGGAGCAGTCTACTATTGACAGTCAGGATTGATGACTTCATCGTTATAGTCATATTTCAGAAAGCGGGTCAGAGGCCCTTACTAAAGCGTCCCATGAAGGCACTGCAAGGGAGGGCCTGGTATATATACTTTTACACTACACACATATGTTTTACATTATTATTTTTACCCCACTAGTCCTCTTGAAAAAGAAACCAGAACAGATTCCAACAGGCTTTTTCGTCAAAGGGAGACTAATGCTGGGGGCAATAAAGACCACTGCCCCTTCAGTCCAAATGGGTACAAAGGAGAACTGGGAGATGTGGACTGACCCTGAGCAATAGCCACACACCCTTGTAGCAAAGGTAGCACATGAGACCAGCAGAAAGGCTCCTGGGTGGAGAATCAGTAAGCAGAGAATCTGTAAGCAGAAGCCTGGCAGAGGCAGACTAAAAGCAGCAGGCCCGACATCAATGGGGACAAAGCCCCTTAACGCCAGAGACCAGAGGAAGTGTTAAAACAGTACCAAGTTGTTTAGTTTTTTTCCGGGGAAAGCTATCAGAAATAACTTTTAAGAATTTTTACTGCAGTAATGAAAGAACTTACAGGTCTCAATAACGCAGTTAGGAGGCAGAAGTAATGGTCTAGGTGAATTCAACAATGACAAAAGGGTTAATGAAAAATGGCACAGCCCCCGCCCCATTTCTGACAAACCTTCCAGTTAATGTCCTCAATTCATCACTGAGACACCTTGAATGTCCCAGAAGCTTCTGTTAAGAAATCAAAACTGGTGACTCACCAGGATCCAAAGCTGCTTCAGGGAGATAGTGAGATTTCTTCAGGCAGAAAGGATGGGAAAAGAAAATACTAAGAAGTTTCTGAAATCCTGGGGTGTGTTTTGGACATACCGAGGAATTGTGTTTGCCTCTCCATCCCCACTTTCCCTCTAGGCAGGAAAACGTTCTAAATCCTGGGTGTGGTTCCCCACTCAGAGGGTGAAGCTGCTCTTGAGGGGATTTCTCGTCCTCTTGGCAGGGGGTCCAGGTTAAGTTTGGGAATCCTGCCCCAGCCACTGGTACAAGAGCGAGGTGCCTGGGTTTCTCCGAGCAGCTTTCATCTTCAGGAATGATTTCCAGAACCCAAAACTTCAGTCCTTTCTCAGGCATGGGCAAAGCCAACGAGTCTGCGCGTCCCTCAGCTTAGCTTCCGGCGGCATCTGGGACAGGGCGCCGCGCCCTTAGAACCGCCCGCGTGCCCCACCGGCTGGTCCCATGGAGGACGGCTCCCAAGCCGGCCCGGGAGGAGCAACGGCTAGGGGGTGGTGGCGCTCGGCAGCCACCTCGCCCCGGCCGCACGCACCCGCAGCGGCTCCCTTCAAGGTCGCCCTCCGCCCGCAGTCCCGGAGAACCTACGCTCGCACCGCACGCGGGGGCCCGCGGGCACGCGCTCCACGGCTGCGCCGGGGCGCGCCCCCTCCTCAGGCCCACCCTCCGCGCAGGCCCCGCCCCTCCCCGGCTAGACCTGGCCTTGCGTCGCCTGCGGGCTACAACTCCGGCGGTTGGGCCGGGCGGCGCGGCGAAGGGTTTCCCTCTCCTTCCACCCAGGAGGTTACGAGCGGTTACCAGCGGCGCGACAATACTCCCCGAAACTTCCCTGGTTGCAGGTGCGCGCGCTAACCCGGGGCCGACAGCGGGGCCGGGCGTCTGGGCCGGCCCTAGTGTTCCCTCAGGCGGCGAGCACAGAGCTGGGCGGGGGTGGGCAAGTGGGAAGTGGCGTCTCACGGTCGGGGAAGGGCGAGCCTAGAAGCCCACGAAAGCTCTTAAGCACGCGAGGCACCTCTTCAATTCTGTGTTAGCTCTGTCTGGCTACAGGGCGGGGAACGGATGGGAGAGGACGAGAAAGAGCGGGAGACTAAGGAGACAGGTGCAGAGAGTGATGCCGCCTGGACCAGGAAACGAGCAGTGAGGAGGGAGAAGTGGACACGAGGTGAGACCTTCAGGACGTAGAGCCGACAGGAGTTTACGTAGGTCCAGCCCGAAGTCTAAAATCTTAGGATGACCTCCAATGGCACTGAAAATCTGGCCCTTATTTGTCTTTGCTCCTCTTCTCTGCTAGCGGGCCGTACAGCACCCATCCAGGGATCTTGCCGCTTCCGAGGGGAGATGCACTCTCACACCGAACAGCCTGTGCAGACGCTCCCCTTTGCCCGGACTGCCCTTCTCCCTCTTTCTCCCCACACTGTAAAGGCCAGCTCAGAAGTCACACTTGCCCGGCTCAGATATGTCCCCTACCACCCAAGCACTCGCAAAGCCTTCTCTGTACTCAGCTCTCACACATCCAACGGTGGTTTGTTCCTATTCCTTTTCTTTGTAATTCTAAACGCCCAACACCACACTCTGTGCCTAGCAACGTGAAATGTGCAAAATCAATGAATACTTTTTTTTTTTTTTTAGCTGTGCCACGAAGCTTGCGGAATATCAGTTCCCCAACCAGGGATTGAACCCCGAACCGGCAGTGAAAACCTGGAATCCTAACCACTGGGCCACCAGGCAACTCCCTCGATGAATACTTTTGAAAAGGGTGTGACTGCCAGTGATTTATTCTGGGACTTTATGACCATTGGGGGAAAAACATGTTTAATGCATTGAAGTAGAGTGCTGTCCAGTATGATCATATGACATTCCCCCTCAACTTCTTCCACAATCCATTCTACGCTAGGCTTGCTCCACAAATGCTTTTTTTTTTTAAACATCTTTATTGGAGTGTAATTGCTTCCCAATGGTGTTAATTTCTGCTTTATAACAAAGTGAATCAGCTATACATACACATATATCCCCATATCTCCTCCCTTTTATGTCTCCCTCACACCCTCCCTATCCCACCCCTCTAGGTGGTCACAAAGCACTGAGCTGATCTCCCTGTGCTATGCAGCTGCTTCCCACTAGCTATCTATTTTACATTTGGTAGTGTATGTATGTCAGTTACTCTCTCACTTCATCCCAGCTTACCCTTCCCCCTCCCTGTGTCCTCAAGTCCATCCTCTAAGTCTGTGTCTCTATTCCTGTCCTGCCCCTAGGTTCTTCAGAACCTTTTTTTTTTTTTTTTAGATTCCATATATATGTGTTAGCATATGGTATTGTTTTTCTCTTTCTGACTTAACTTCACTCTGTATGACAGCCTCTAGGTCCATCCACCTCACTACAAATAACTCAATTTGTATGGCTGAGTAATATTCCATTGTATATATGTGCCACATCTTCTTTTTTTTTTTTTTTTTTTTTGCGGTACGCGGGCCTCTCACTGTTGTGGCCTCTCCCGTTGTGGAGCACAGGCTCCGGACGCGCAGGCTCAGCAGCCATGGCTCACGGGCCCAGCCGCTCCGCAGCATGTGGGATCTTCCCGGACCGGGGCACGAACCCGTGTCCCCTGCATCAGCAGGGGGACTCAACCACTGTGCCACCAGGGAAGTCCCCACATCTTCTTTATCCATTCATCTGTTGATGGACACTTAGGTTGCTTCCATTTCCTGGCTATTGTAAATAGAGCTGCAATGAACATTGTGGTACATGACTCTTTTTGAATTATGGTTTTCTCAGGGTATATGCCCAGTAGTGGGATTGCTGGGTCGTATGGTAGTTCTATTTTTAGTTTTTTAAGGAACCTCCATACTGTTCTCCATAGTGGCCGTATCAATTTACATTCCCACCAACAGTGCAAAAGGGTTGCCTTTTCTCCACACCCTCTCCAGCATTTATTGTTTGTAGATTTTTTGATGATGGCCATTCTGACCAGTGTGAGGTGATACCTCATTGTAGTTCACAAATGCTAATTTTATAAGTAACAAAAATGCTAAGACAATAAGATATAAAATTGTATTTACAATGTAACTTACCTATTTTTTAAAATACATGAAATATACCAAAGTGTTAAGGGAGCCTATCATCAGTTGACAGAATTTGGGTGCTTTTTATCTTTCTTATAAATCTTTTTTATAATCAGCATATGTCACTTCCACAATAAGAAGAAAACAAACACTAAACAGGTGGTAACTCATTTACAAGAGCAGAGTATGTCATACCATTAAATTGAAAACCAAGTCTGTCCTTATCTTCTTAAATAACTAGTCAGCATATATATAGCTTCTTTGTTATATGCTGTGAATACATTTAGACTTTAATGCTTTCCCCACATCCATTTCACCTTAGATAATCTGGGACAATAGTTCCTCATTATTCAAGTCCTTGTCTAAAATAGAAAAAAATATAGATTAATGAACATATTTATACATCAAAAGCCCCAAATTTATTACTTTCAAATCGTGTATTTTATAAACAGTATAAATGGGCATTGCTGTGCAAAGTGAGGTCAGTTGATAAAAACAATGACAGTTCACAACAAGTCTAATTCATGTATCATTACATAACTGCAGAAATCTTTAAACACAATATCTACTTACTACAACCAGAAGTTGAAGGCATATTGAAGGAATCCTTAATATTATGAGGCCTACATTTCAAAAAGCTACCAATTCTAGAATGGATTCTACTCTGGAACTGCTTCTTGATTATTTCTTGTTGCATCTCTTTCAGTGTAAAATGGAACCTTTGAAACTCAGGTGTTGCATCAACAAAGTCAAGAAGGTAGTCCAAACTCTTTCTTACAGCAGATAACTTAAATTCAGCAGTCTGCTCCTCAGCTCCCGCTTTTTGAACAACTTCCTTTGTAATTCCACCTTTTGTTTTCGGGGGGCTGCCCTTTTCTTCATCCCCATTTAACCACACCCTATCGTTATCCAGCTTGGTTTCCAACTCCCCACATTTCTCAAGAATTTCTCTATAATCTCCATCTTCTAAGCCTTGAAGATCATATTCAGGTTCCTTTTTGTAAAGAAGATTTTCCCATGCATTTGCTATGGTTATTTGTTTTACTTCATCCCAACTCTTTGCCCAGTTAAAAATTGCACTTTTTATGTTGTAGATTTTAATCTTGGAAACTCCTTTTTCTCCTTTATCTTGCTCATCATCACTTTCTTCATAAATTACAAGACTCTCCTCAAGTTGCTTCCACCTGTAAAGTCGTTTGCAGCTCAAGATCACACCCTGATTCATTGGTTGAATCAAGGTTGAAGTGTCATGGGGAAAGAACATGCATTTTATTCGACCATCCTCACTGGTTAGTGATTCAGTGGAAGGGTGAACTGGAGAATTGTCCAGAAGTAACAAGGCCCTGACATCCTCCTCATGGAATCTTAGAACATTAACTTGAAAGTGCTTGACTTCAGGAACAAAGTTTTGAAAAAACCATTCTGAAAACGATTCTCTGGTGAACCAAACATCTTTACTAGGTTTGTATATCACAGGTAATGTACATGTGTCCTCTTTTACACTTCTGGGCAGCTTTGATTTTCCAATTATAATTGACTTTAACTTATGAGTACCATCCGCATTTGCACATAAAAGAGCAGACAATTGTTCTTTGTTTATTTTCCTCCCTGGCAGGCAGATATCTTTTCCGCTTGCCTGAGTATTTTCTGGCATTGACTTCCAAAAGAGGTCAGTCTCATCCCCACTGTACAGCTGAGCAAGACACAGTTTCTCCTCTTTGATAAGCATGGACAGTTTTTGTCGAAACGGCTCAACATTTTCTGAAGCTGAACGTAGGACTTGTTCCCCACATACTTTTCGGTTCCCAATTGCATGCCTATTTCGAAATCTAAAAAGCCAACCAGTGCTAGCTTTGAAGTCTGTTCGCCCAAAACACTGTGCAAATCTCTCGGCAGCAGCCTGAAGCTCCACACCTCTCACAGGGGTACCAGCTGAGCGTTTCTGTTGGTACCACATGTAGACTGCATCATCCACGTCACCATATTTGGCTCCTGTTGTTCTCTTTCTCTTCTCAGCCCCTACTAATGGCATGTCCTGCTTCAGTACAAAGTCCAAAATCAATTTCTTGTTCTTTTTAATGTCATAAAATGTTGATTTACTGATTCCAAATTCATCCATTACACTTTTAAGAGATTGTCCCGCTTCAATCCTACTTAGAACCTTCATTTTCTCCTCCAAATTCAGTGTTGTATATTTCCCTCTCTTATTCATACTGAATTTGGTTTCAGGCAATCAACAGGGGTAAAAAGGAAAAAGCATTACTGAATTGGAAAAAAAAAAATTAAAAACGAAACAACTCCCCATTCCCCCAACTAGCACAACGCCCCCCCAGAAGGCATAGGAATTTATACTGAAGGGTAATGGGCTAAAAAGGATAAGGGCTCATGATTGAAATGCTAGTCTAGAGGTAAAGGTCTGAACTCAGAAAGTTGCCACTGCAAGGTCCGGTCTAGTTGTTGCTCCTGCAAGACATGGATGGTCAGTCTTCAGAACCCCCCTTCTGAACGCTTTTTCTTCTCTCCCTTGACAGATGCAGCAGCACCAGTCAGGAATAACAGGAATACCTGCATACTCTCCCTAACTGATTACAGGAAAAGACACAAAAGGAAGAGAGGAGGTGAGATGTGCTCATAAGAGGGACAGACTCAGGTAAGATAAATCTCAATAAAAAGTGGTGCTTCACAAAGGAGTGTGAAAGCCTTAAAGGCAAGGACAGAATAATATTGTGTAACAAAGATGCAGTGTGGCTTCTCCTCTTCCAAAACAAGCTGATTTTACCTCACTGCCAGAAAGGAAAATGGTGCTCATATTGCTCTGCATGTAGTGTTCGCTGGGCAGCAGTCCATCTACCTGGATAAATACTCCAAGCTACCCTGACAGTGGGATGTCTAGAGAGTTGGAATTCGGGAACAGTTGTATCTTTCGGTGAAGAAAAAAGTTAGTAGGTTCTGTTGTCCATATGAATGAAATCCAACTTTTACTGCATTCAATACAGCATTCTCAAAGACTAAGCTTTAACTTGAGTGTTTCTTATGTTTACCAAGGTAATCTGTAAGTATATAAATAATGTATTTGTTACTGGCACTTTTCCACTCTCAGATCTTCTTCCTTGTGTACATCTGGTGTATTCTCAAGTGTTATTTTCCACTGAATTGTTCCATATTTGGGATATAATCAAGTTTCAGAATCATGGCAATTCTTAGAGATGAGTCCAAAAGTTTTATAAAAATTTTACAGTAGTTAAAAAAGTATTAAAAAGATCTGTCCTTGTGATTCTTTTCCTAAATTTACACTTAGTGTTAAGTAACATACTTTTTATATTTGAGACTTTACCTGATTTTCTTCATTACAGATTTTACTTAATTTGACCTAAGACTCAATTTTTCCATTGCTTGAAGAAATTTTAAAGGTTTCTCTATTGGTTATTCTGATCACTTGTTTCCCATAAGTCCTTCTGTTGGCAAACTCTTCTATAGCTCTGCACCCTCAAATATTCCTTTCAAGTCTTCCTGGTGCCACCCAGTGCCATTCCATGTCTGTAGAAATGTCCTACTCTAGATTAATTTCATGGTTCTTATTCCAGATACACAACCTCATGGGAAGTAACAAAAACTGCCACTTTTATCCATTCCAGGTGCTATGAAGAAAGAAAAGTATGTCAGAGAAATGAGAAAAATGGTATTTCAGTTATTTTTCCTCTCCTTTAGGGCAGAGCCTGACTGACGTTCATTCATTTCTCAACTACACAGAATTCTCAAAAGCCTCTCACCTAGAAACCCAGAAGTGTCCAGACCATTAGTTTTCCTCTAACATTTGTTGCAAAAAATGTCAACTGCTTTACAGAGTACTAAGAGGATCATGAAAGTACGATAGTTAATAGGGTATGGAGCCAGTGACAGGCTAGGATCAAGCAACCTTCTAAAAGAGGCAGCTCTAACTAAGGCAATTACTATTATAAATGGAAAAAGGAATAAGAAAGTGTTTGTTAGCCAGTAGCAACACCATTAAAGCAGCCAGTCACCCAGCAAAACCATTCAGCCCACTATGGCAGTTGTGTGGTATCTCAAAATAAACTGCATGTGTTTGCTTTCATTGCTTTCCAGCTGGACATTCATTATTTCTCAAACTGTGCCCAGGCAGGGAAAGGTGAAATCAAAAGGAAAGACTTGGGGGACTTCTGTGGGCTCCACAGCAAGGGTAAGGAACTATGGCATCAAACTTTAAATGATGACAATCATCAGTGACCCTAATTCACAATTCACCATTTTGTGCCTTGTTTCCTCTTCTTCCTTTCATAGGGTCTCTTTTCCCACTTTCTTCTCCCCTTGTTCACTGACCAGCTCCCTACCTATGTTATGAATCAGGCCTGCCAATTCAGGGGCACCGCTGGCAGAACTCCATTTATTCAGTTCAAGTTCCAATTATATGCTCAGCCTTGGTCCAGATGATGAGGATCTCAATGCTAAGAGCTTTACTGCCCACTGGTTCTGACTGGAAGCAGTAGTTACTTTTTTTTTAATCACATATAATTCTTTATTCCTGCATAGTCTAATTTTATTTTTATTTATTTTTAACATCTTTATTGGAGTATAATTGCTTTACAATGGTGTTTCTGCTTTATAACAAAGTGAATCAGCTATACATATACATATATCCCCATATCTCCCGCCTCTTGTGTCTCCCTCCCACCCTCCCTATCCCACCCCTCTAGGTGATCACAAAGCACCAAGCTGATCTCCCTTCTCCCTGAGCTATGCGCTGCTTCCCGGTAGCTATCTATTTTACATTTTGTAGTTTATATAAGTCCATGCCACTCTCTCACTTCATCCTAGCTTACCCTTCCCCCTCCCCGTGTCCTCAAGTCCATTCTCTACGTCTTTATTACTGTCCTGTCCGTAGGTTCTTCAGAACCACTGCTTTTTTTTTTTTAGATTCCATATATATGTGTTAGCATACAGTATTTATTTTTCTCTTTCTGACCTACTTCACTCTGTATGACAGACTCTAGGTCCACCTCACTACAAATAAATCAATTTCGTTCCTTTTTATGGCTGAGTAATATTCCATCATATATATGTGCCACATCTTTATCCATTCATCTGTCGATGGACACTTAGGTTGTGGAAGCGGTAGTTACTTTTGAAGAAACTAAGTCCCAACCTGAGATTCTAAGAAAATGAACCTGCTTTGAAATATATTCAAGCAACTTAGGCAGATGCTTTTTTTTTTTTTTTTTTTTTGTCTGTGCTGCGCAGCTTGTAGGATCTTAGTTCCCTGGTGGACAGAACCAGTGCCCCCTGAAGTGGAAGCACAGAGCCCTAATCACTGGACCGCCAGGGAATTCCTGTCAGATGCTTATTATTATTATTACCTCTGCTTAATCCTTTTCTCCCCCTCAAAAAGGATCAAGATCTATGCCTCAGAGGAGTGTAACACCAGTCTACCTAAAAGCAAAAATAGCATAATGACCTTGTAATGGTCTTCCATTTTTGTTCCCACCTTAAACTCAGCTCCAGATGAACTGCCCTGGAAAGAAGCTCCCTCAAAAACCCTCAAATGATGCTCTTTATTTACTTTATTAAATGCAATCTCTTCACTTCTATTCCAAGCGCTCCACAGTAGATCCACAAGAACTTATTTTCTAACTCTCTTTCTCTAAATGTACCCGAATTACATTTAGTAAAAAAAAGTACTACAGATTTTCTCACATGCTCATCTCTGAAGCTTTCAAGGCTTTGCTCTTACCTTACCCTCTGCCTGGAATGTGGCCTCATTCCCTGCTGTGGGCAAATCCCTCAAGGATTTTTATAATTTTCCCCAACCCCCAAATCGACTTTCATTTCCTTGTAATTCCCACGGCGTTCAGCTTATGTCTTACCCTTTCCTACCTTGTGTTGCTGATATTTGTGAAATTGCCTCAGTCCTTTTGCCAGATCCCTTGAATCAAAGGCTCTGTTCTATCGACTCTATAACACTGGCTACACATAGTAGACTTAATAAATAATCCCTTGACTAGTATAGGCTGACACTATGAAAACACTGACAACTGGAAATACTGGAAGCCAACAACCGAAATACTCAGATTCTTATAAATATGATTCAGTAAATATTTATGGAATGCCTACCTTACCCAGGCAACTCTACCAGACACTATAGGACAAGATGAAAAGAAGGTTCCCATGCTCCAGGGAGCACGCTGTGGTGGAAAAAGCAGAAGACAGGACAAAGGGGCCCTAAATTCCACTGGAGGACCTGCCACTGGTGAATTATGTGACCTCGATCAAGTCACTCCTCATCTCTCAATTCTCTGTCAAGGAGATCTATAAAAGGAACCTATTTCACAAGTAAAAACCTACCTCACAAGAAAAAACAGAATCGTGTGTGCACGCACGGCCCAGAAATGAGTACACACCCCTCAGGGGCCGTCGATCCTGACCGGGACAAAACGGCCTCGTACTGTAGGAGGCTGCGACAGGGCCCTGGCCGGCAGGTCGGGCACGGCCGGCTGAGCCGCGGTAAGGTCGGGGGCCCAGCGCACGGAAGGGAACGGTGACCCTCAGGGTGGGGCCTGGGTCACCAGGCTCCGCCGGCAGCCCGAACACGACACAGGAACGACCTGGACGCGCGCGCCCCACAGAGCTGGGACGCGAGACGGCGACACAAGGGCGCCAAGCAGCGCGCAGGGCCCTCTAGGCTGGGCGGGCCTGGGGACTCGGTGGCCTTAACTCTTTCTTGCCGCCAGGGCTGAACCCGGGAGGAGGCCGGTCACCCAGGTCGGCCTGGAGCGGCGGCGCTCACGGACCCAGCCGGGGCTGAGCGGGTCCTCCCCGGAAGTGCGTCACTTCTGCCTCGGGTTGGAGCGCGGGTAGCTAGCAGCGCAGGGAGGATTTCAGGTCGGGTAGGGGGGCCAGGTGGGTCTAAATAGTGCCCGGCCTGCGCTCCCAAACCCCGGGGCCTCGGGGGCCCGCCCCTGAGTGGCGTGTGGCGTGGAGCTGTCCTCCTTAGAGCGGTGGCCGGGCCGGCGGCAACTTGTGGTAGAGGCCCGGGAAGAGGGAGCGGCCTTCACGAAGCCAAGCCGTCCGAGGTAACCTAGAAGCGGCTTCCGCTTCGGCGCCGGCCCCGGAGCCTCCGAGAGACTGCGGCCGCTGCTTGGAGCCGCTGCACAGCGGCCGGTGGTGTTTCCGAGCCGGGCGACAGGACTGTCTGGGGCGAGGCCAGTCGTCAGGCTCGTGAGGCCGCTTTCTCCAACGTTTGTGCGGGTGGCGCCCAGGGCCGCGCGGCGGGAGCCCGCTCGGACACTGCCCGCAGGTACAGTGCTCACGGGCGCGCCCGGGCGGTCGTGTTCACTTTCCTGCCTCCGCCGGCGTTTCCTTTACTGGCTGATGTTACTGCGGGAGAAACGGGCGGTCCAGCCTCAGTCAGATCAGCTTCCTCTGATGCAAAAGCCTGGGAAGTGTCCCCAGCGCCTCAGAGCCGTCGGGAGCCGGCCGTTTGTGAACACCGTGGCTTCCTGGGCAGAATTTCGGTGCCCTTTCTGCTGGATCACCTCAGGGAAAGTGAGCCTCACGAGGCTCTCCTCAGCCTCGCTTAGAGGTCTAAATGAGCCCTGGAGAAATGTAGCGGCTGAATGTAATCATGACCAACTAACATGCTGTCCTTTTTCTTCCAATTGACATTTGGATAAACATTTTGTGAACAAGGATCAGCTGTAATTTTTCCTAGGTCAAGTAACGAGAAATTAAAAATACAGGTATAGGACTTACCTCGTGGCGCAGTGGTTGGGAATCAGCCTGCCAATGCAGGGGACACAGTTCTAGCCCTCGTTCAGGAGGATCCCACGTGCGGCGGACAGCTAAGCCCGTGGGCCACAAATGCTGAGCCTGCGCTCTGGGGCCCGCGAGCCACAGCTACTGAAGCCGGAGCGCCTAGAGCCTATGCTCCTCAATGCGGCGTGGCCCCAGTCGTTGCAACTAGAGAAAGACCACGCGCAGCAGCAAAGACCCAACACAGCCATACATACATACATACATACATAAGTGAATTTGGAAAGGAAAGGAAAAATACACAGGTATACATCTTCTGCATGGTGCTCTTTATATGTCTTGCAAAGAAATGCCAAGACAAATGTAGAGCAACTAGTTATTTAATTGGGGGTTGCTTTTGAGAAGAATAAGGCTCCATTTTTCTGATTTACTTTTCTTCTACTCTGGTCTCATTGTTTCAGCTCTCCTGCCAGTTTTCATACAATGGAAAGGAGCACCTCAAATGTTCCAGGAAGTGAAGGCTTCCATCTTCCCAAAAGGATAAAGGTCATAGAAGTTGTACCCTCTTACTGAAGACATACTAGGACGATATGTTGAAATTTAAGAGAAACTCAGAATATTCTCCTGATCTTTCCTTTACACGGAGAGGATGGCATAGGAAGTGCATCAGTTAAATCTTTGGATAATCCCCAAACTCCTTGGAGCCAGTGGGTACTAGTTTTTTCACCCACCAACTTTTCCTGATTTTTTTTTTTTAAAGGCAAAGTGATTTATTGGCATTTGTCTTTAATAAGCTGTGCTGTATTCAGCTGAATAATAGAAAGAAAATGAGAGAAACAAGGGCCTGGCAGTTGATTTGGGTTTTTTTGGCAGTTGATTTTTAAAGTTCATGTTTCTCTCATAATAAGTAACAAGTAGTAAAGATCATGTGACTTTCTTACTGACATGCACTTTTTTCTGCCCTCAATGCCTTAGGAAGAAGATCGTTTTATTGATTTTGTTCCAGACCAGACTGGGCCTCAGTTTTCAGAGGTAGTGCTGGAGGTGTGTCCAATACAGGAGCAGAATTGTTCCTCGAGAAGAATGATGACCATAGATCTGAAGGTGGCTGAGTACTTGAACCCTCAGATCAGGACTCTGTGGGAGACCAAGGGACCTGTGACAGGGAGCTCCAGTCAGCATAAGAAATATGCCCCCCAAACGGACAGTCCCAGTCCTGAGAGGTCTCACCAGCACTTCCGGAGCTTTCTCTATCATGAAGCAGCTGGACCCCGGGAGGCTGTTGACCAGCTTCTGGAATTATGCCGTCAGTGGTTGAGGCCAGAGATTCATTCAAAAGAGCAGATCTTGGAACTTGTGGTGCTAGAGCAGTTCCTGTCCATTCTGCCCAGGGACACCCAGACCTGCATAAAGAAGCACCATCTACAGAGCATTGAGGAGGCTGTGGTCCTGGTAGAACACTTGCAGAGGGAATCTGGTCAAACGAGGAATGGGGTGAGAAGAAAGATTCCTGTTGTATACAGTGAAATAGGGTGATGGTGGATGTATTGGGGCAATTAATTGAGAAATAAAGTGAAATAGGTAACTTCTGTTGTCCCTTTAGGACATGTAAAGCAGAATGTGAAAGCACAGATCCACAGCCATAGTCAGTGCATATGATTCAGAGATCCTGAGAGAGGCTTCCCTGGCCTTAGGGAGAGAGTTGCTTTTTGCCCTCTTTGGAGCCAGGGTGTGTTGAGGGTAATGAGTCTAGTCTGGCTTGGCGAAGGAGATGGGCCT